CTCCTCCCACTGGCAGCGAAACAATTTCTTGAAGAGATTCTTTAACTTCCTTCTTCTGTTGTTCCTTTTCCTTGTGTCTATGTGCTGCACGAGTCATTCTTTGCTCTTTGATCTCTGTTTGTTGTGACCACTCCGCCTGTAACTTTCCAGCAACCATCACTCCTACTCCTTCAGACTGCTGTTCCACCTCTTTACCATCCAAAACTTTCTGCATCATAGGTAGTGGTGAACCTGCTCCCAGGACCGAGTTGTAAAACTCCTTTGCTTTAGAAACTGTATTAAGTCTATAACGTGTCCCCGCATGGCTCACAACAATACCCATCGGAATCTCCCATCTGAATGGCATCAATCTTTTTTTAAGTTCATTAGCTAAGAAAGCAAACTCTTTTCTCTTTCTTAGAATTTTGGATGGGATCTCCTTTAAAATAATGACATCTTGAGCAGCAATCTGAAACCTCTTATTATAAAAAGCTTGTATGATTTCATTGCGCAGAGATCTCTTTGCAAAATAAATCACCACATCTCTTGGTAAATTTTTTTGCTTTGCAACCCAGGAGCTAACTCTATAATTTTTTTCAACTTCTCTGAATATTTCCTCTTTCTCTCTATTCAAAATAACAGCAAAGTCATTTACCACAATCTCTCTCAGGTCTTGCTGCATATCTTCTTTCAGGCCCCTGATTCTTAAAGCATGTTCCATCTCTCTGTACTGAGACATAACAATGTCATCTTGTGAAATTTCCATCTTTTTTTCCATACCTTCAAACTTGTTTTCCAAAATATCCACCTTGTCTGCCACCTCTTCCACTCTGGAATCTAACTTCTCAACCACATAAGCAAGTCCTGTTAAAGCCATAACTATATCTTGCCTCAGAATAGTGTTATTCTGCTCTAAAAGTTTCTTCATTTCCCCTCTAATTTGAATTTTATTCTGCTCTAAAAGCTCCTTCATTTCCCCTCTGATTTGAGATACAGCATTTCCCATTATGTCTTTCATATCTTGTACCATTATTGCTGGCAAAGGAGGAGAAGGTGGTGGTGTAGCTTTAGGTTGTTGTGCCAGTAGGATCGCAGGAGAAGAAGCCACCCTGGGTACTGTAGAAGCTACTTGCCTCTTTGAAGCCATTTTAAAAAAGAAAAAATCTTATTTCTTCTTTCTTCCTTCTTAAAAAAAAAACAATAAAAAAATCCTCAAAAAGAAAAACAAAAAAAACAAAGGAGAGTTTAAAAAATCTTTCCAAAACACAAATCCACCTTCAGAAAAAATTTAAAAGAAAACCATGTAGTCCATAACATTCCGTTTCACTCACTTTTTTCCGGAAAAAAAAAACTTTCAAATCGCCATTTTACTTTCACTCTCCACACAAAGAAAAACAAAGAAAAAAAAAGAGAAAAAAGAAAGGTCAGCCTTTCAGACTAAAGTCCAAATAATATCCAATAAATCAAATCCTTTATCCAGCTCTGTCCACTTTTAAAAATAACTCACCCAGTTCCTTTAAGCACGGAGGTGGAAGCAGCGTTTTGCTTTGTTCCCAAAGGAACAAAGACAGCTGGGAGGCGGAGACAACCCGAACTCCGAGGGAGCTCTCTTTTCACCCCCCAAGGAAAAAAATCCTGGGGGGTTTAAGAGGCTCTACCTCTATTCAGGTGATACTCCCCTCCCCCCCTTCGCCCGGGAGGGAGGTTTTGAGCTGCGGAACAGCTGGTGCCTGCTGTTCTCCGCGGTTCTCACGCTTTCCCAGGAGGACGGCTACAAAGTAGCCACCATCACCGACGCTTAAACCACCAGAAGCCATTGGATTTTTAAAGATTAGATTTGAATGGTGAGATTTGGGGGATTTGTCTAATGATGGAAAATGAGATATAAATGTTAAAATAATTAAACAATTAATAATTTAATAATAATAAATAATTAAATAATTAAAGTAGCTTTATTAGATTGAGTTTATAAAACATTATTATTTTTGATAACCCTTAATAGCACTTAGATTTATATATCGCTTCACAGTGCTTTACAGTCCTCTCTAAGCAGTTACAGAGTCAGCGTATTGCCCCCTTCATTTTACTGATCTTGGAAGGATGGAAGGATGAGTCAACTTGAGCGGTAGGGATTGAACCCCTGGCAGTCAGCAGAATTAGCCTGCAATACTGCATTCTAACCACTGCGCCACCACAGCTCCTCATGCTCACTCTTTTTCTGACTAAGATGGAGGATGAGATTTTAAAGATCTGTTTATTAAAAAATGAGGTGAGATATAAAATGAAGAGATTGTTTTATTTTAAGAGATGGTGATAAATTGTTTATGCTTGCTGGGATGAAGGTGGAGGTTACATCTTTCTCTTTCAAAAAAGTTCTCTTTTTTCTTTGCACTTATACTTTGTATTACTTGCATCTATATGACATATTCTTTAATAAAATTATTAATAAAAAGTCACAGTGATCAGAGGCAGCATTCTACAAAAGGAAAAGTCTGCTGTATCTTTCCTAGAACAGACCAAGCTTTGCCAAAATATCTCACGCACTATGGCACAAAGAAATGGCCACCAATTCTGACACCTATAGATCTTTTATTTGCCTTCCCACCTCATTTTACTTATTTGCAGGAATCCTAGAAAACTTACTATATTCTCATTTGAAAGAAAATTCACTTTCCCTCATTGAACAAAAAGAACTTAACACAAATCCATGCAGCACAAAAAACAACATTATCCTTAAAATCTCCAAGAAAAGAAAAGGCAACCTGTTATGGCTTAGATCAGACATGTCAAACACAAGGCCCGGGGGCCGGATGCGGCCCACACAGTGGTTTCATGTGCCTGTGAAGCCATTCTGGAAACAGTGAAGGAACAGCCCTCTCTGCCTTGGCCCTGGCCCAGGCCAGCTGGGAGCCAATGTACAATTTTGTGGTGGCCCTCTATGCTGAAACGCATTCAGTCTTAGCTTCATAAGCCCCCTCCCCATGGCTGAGAGGAATATTGAGGCTCCTCCAGTGGACCATGCCTTGGCACTTGCCCCGGCCCCATCCCTTTCTGCCAGAGACCCTCAGATCTGTCCCACTCCTGCCCAGGCCCCCACAGGCACCCTTGATGTGAACGATGTAGAGCTGGCCACACCCACCCAGTAGGCCACCCCCACTCCATCCACACTCAGTAGGCTGCACCCACCCTGGCCACACCCACCCGGCCCCCTGAGGGCAACCACAATGCAGAACTTAGATATATATTCAACACTGCTCTTGAGGAGAAAGGCATGTAATTCAATCTCAACAAATGTTCATCTTTGATAAAGGAGGCAAATGTGTTGATGAAGATGGATTGAAGACCAAGGGCAGAATATACTGTATGAGAAATACTTAGGAACAATGGAAGCTTGGGATTTATTGGATTGCAAACTATTTTGCCCAGGCAGGTCATGAGGGAGACCCTCCCAAGAGAAACCAACCTTACCACTTAGCTATGGCACTTTTTTGGAGCTCCAAAGCATCCAGTGACTAACATAAGATCAAGTCTCTGACCTGGGCAACAGCAATGTCTGTTCTTAATCCTCAATCCAGGATTAGAATAAATGAAGATTCTGATAACTGGTTTCCAGGCAATGAAGCAAGATCCTACATATCTTGAAAAGTATCCACGGATTACTTAGGCATTTATTATTATTTTATTCTAGCAGATGCACATTTTTCTTTAACATTTCAAATGTGACTGCCTCCTCTACAACATATTCTCTCCACTAGTTTGCTCAGAAAAGTCAACCATTAGACAAAATTTCTCAAAGGTGCTACTTCAAAAGGCAACTTTTTTTCTTAAGGAAGATGTTTCGCTTCTCATCCAAGAAGCTTTTTCAGATCACTGAAGAGACTTTTTGGATGAGAAGCAAAACTCTTCCTCAAGAAAAAAACAAAGTCCAGTTGCCTTTTGAAAAAGCACTTTTGAGACAACCATGACATAGATCAGGGCTTTTCAACCTTTTCACCCATTGTACCACTTTTAGGATATGGCAACATCCGAGTACCACCAGTCGTCAAAAACTTGATGACACCCCCAAAAGAAGAGAGAGGAAAAAAGTGTTAAAGTACAGATAGTCCTCGACTTACAACAGTTCACTTAGTGACTGTTCGAAGTTACAATGGCACTGAAAAAAGTGCCCCCCAAGCCACAGCTGAGCAAGACACCTGCCTGCCCGCCCGGCCGTGCTCTTCCTCCTATCTGAGGTTTTCATTGTTGTGAGCATTTCTGTTGAGGATTAGCAGCGAGGGCGGGTTGGGGGGTGTTTGGTTTTTATCCCCCCCCCGTCTGCTGGGTGGTTGCAGCAGGTTTTGGTCACTTCACATGACCCTGGGACACTGTGACCGTCATAAATATGAATCAGTTGCCAAGCATCTGAATGTAAATCACAAGACCCTGAAGATGTTGCAACATTCCAGCTGATCAGGGCTTCTGGACTCATCAGAAGCGCCAGAATCAGTGCTACTTTCCAGCTGATTGGAGCTTCTTCAGGGCTCAGCAGAAGTACCAGGATCAGCGCTGAGCCTGGCGCTGATGCTGGCGCTTCCGCTGAGCCCTGACAGCCCTGCAGCTCCAGCCATCTCTCGCTCAGGCTTGTGCGGTGCTGCCACCGGTTCAGCTCATTCCCCTCCCCCGCTACCACTTTTCTAGGATGGTCGCGTACCACCTGCCAGGTGCCAATGTACCACAGGTGGTACCTGTACCACTGGTTGAAAAGCCCTCACATAGATAACTGAAATCTCCATAGATATTTGACAAAAGGATTGATTATCTGAAAGAATTGACTTCATTCTACTATTAGAAAACATAGCATCTTTCCATTTAAACAACAATCCCAAAGAACCCCAAAGAAACACTCTTTGGGGTTTATGGATAATGATCTCTGTTCTTGAGAGACACAATCCCCAAGGCACCCAATGCTTAACACCAGCCTTCAAGGTTTGTAAATTACAGCACATCCTTCTCCCTGCTCAGTCCCTGACTATGAATTTTAAGCATCACTGTAAGAATGGATGACAGCTTTTTCTCATTCCTTAATCCTAACACATTTCAACATCCTTTCCATTGGAGGGAGTAACCCTGAGGTAAAGCATGAACTATTCTTATAAAATGAGGATTTACTTTGTGAGGAAGGACCATGGAGGAGTTAATTTGATCAGCTACCACCTTCTCAAGAAAGAAGAGATTTGGTTGGTCAGGAAGATGGTATGAGAACAATATATAAGTGATGACTAACAACGATAAGCCAAGGCTGTGGTTTTTAAACTTCATTTTAAATTGTAATACAGTCAGACAAATGTATGGGTTACCTGCTTTCACTGATAACAGTTAATAAATATCCATCTCTGTTTATTATCTCTTCTACTTTGCATATATATCTCAGCACAAAATAGTGTTTATTTTCTAGACTAATGAGTCCTTCTTGCAGTCAGATTTAAAATGAAGGATTCATCCAAACTATTTAGTAACAGAATATTTGATGCATCTTCTGCTTTCTCCTCCCTGAATATCCCCCTTAAGAAAAATTTGGGAAAAATATAATTGAATAACGAACACCTATTTCAATGCAATTAAGCATCCTTTCAAGGATAAAGGTGTGCCTAATGAGGAAGAGAGAGAGAGTTTGGTGTAGTGATTAAAGTATCAGACCAGAAACCAGGTGACTGTGAGTTCTAGTCCTGCCTTAAGTACAGAGCCAGCTTGGTGACCTTGTGCCAGTCACTCTCTCTCAGCCCTAGGAAGGAGGCAATAGCAAACCACTTCTGAAAAAATAAAACCTTGCCAAATTAATTGCAGGGATATATCCAGGCAGCCGACAAGATTCAGACATTCAAATGGAAGAGGGAAAAAATGAGGAAGCAGTTTTGCCTGAGTACCAGAGGAAACAATACTATATTTAATGGATTAAAGATTTGATTATGATACAAGGGAGGTTCCTACATTCCGGTGAAACACAGTGGAGAAGTTCAGAAATATTTCCAAAAATTGTCTTGTCTCATGAAATTCTATCATATTTGAGAATTTCATAGATGTTTTCTTGTACTATGTACAAGAGAGAGCTGTAATTGCAGTGCAGCTTTTGGAAAGAAGGAGTTAGAGGAAATTCCCATCAATGTGTTATCCTGCCTTCTACAGCTACAGAGAGTGCCACTGTATGGGAAGCAGTGAGCGATAAGTCCTTAATGCTAGCCAGATCTATGTCAAAAAGTAAATCAGGCCAATATCTCCTTTACTCCTTTCACCATTCCTCTAGAAGACAATGAGCCATTATGTTACAAACTTCATGGTCTCCAGACGTTGTGTTCATATACATCTGAAAGGAACACATTGAATGAGCGTGATATAAATAAAAATCCTTCCTTCCTTCCTTCCTCCCTTCCTTCCTTCCTTCCTTCCTTCCTTCCTTCCTTCCTTCCTTCCTTCCTTCCTTCCTTCCTTCCTTCCTTCCTCTTCCCCCCTCTCTGATTTTTAGTATGCAAAGATGTAACCCAGTGATGAACATGGGGAGTGTTGTTTAGCTTCTTGTTTTGTAAGGGAAGTCCAAAATAGTGCAAGAAGATATAAAATGAATTTAGAGAATATGGTTAAGGATGGAAATTATCTTAACTTATTCCAGATGGTATCGTCCAACTGGACTTCGGTTGAGGAATTCGTGTTGCTGGGATTTGGAATTGGACCACACAGCAGATTGCTGCTCCTCATCTTTTTCACTATTCTCTATGTGCTCACCTTGGTTGAGAATATCACCATTATTATCTTGGTGCTTCTGGACACCCACCTGGGCCAGCTACCTATGTACATCCTGCTGAGCAATTTCTCCTGGTTAGAAATGTGCTATGTCTCCACAACGGTGCCTCGCATGCTCTTTGATTTAGCAGTCCCTGGTGGCATCATCTCCTTCAATGAGTGTTTCATCCAGTTCTACATCTTCTTCTCCCTTGGCTGCACCGAATGTTTTTTCCTCTCAACAATGGCTTTGGATCGGTATGTGGCCATCTGCCGCCCTCTGCACTACCCACACATTATGTCTCACAGCTTCTGCTACCTTATGGTGGCTCTTTGTTGGATTGTTGGCTTTCTGTGGTACCTTGTTCCAGCAAAGTTGATCTCTAAGTTGTCCTTTTGTGCTGCCAACGTCATTGACCACTTCTTGTGTGATCCTGGTCCAATCCTATCCTTGGCTTGCCCTCCACTTGGAAAAGCTCCCATTTTCAGCCAGATTTGTCTCAATGGTCTCCTCATAGGCAATATCTCCTTTGTTGTGGCCTCCTACAGCACTGTGATTTTCACTCTAGCCAAGACCTCCGACAGTCTTAGGAAGGGCTTTTCTACCATCTCTTTCCATTTAATTGTGGTCTCACTTTTCTATGGCTCAGTGGCAGCGATGTATTTATTGCCAGGTGGGGAAAGTCAATTAGGGGTCACAAAGGCTGTGACCCTCTTCTATACCGCCATTACACCCTTTCTCAATCCTTTGATCTATTGTCTGAGGAACAATCAAGTGAAGGAAGCCCTTGGCAGATTGCTAACAAGAAAGGTGAGACTGATATGGAAGAAGTAATTGTTTGTTTACACAAAAAAGATACAGTACAAGGAAAATCAAAAGCTACAGAAAATGCAAACCAAAAAGCATGCTTCTTTAAATAATGTTCATGTCATCTTGAAATTTTCAATGTCCAACCTCCTCTTTATTTCCAAAAATGTCCCTGGGCCCCACCTCGTCCTCATCATAGCCGTATAAAATATGGCAATGCTTCATCCTAGATCCTGTGAAGCCGCACACACTTGGGCAAAATTAAGAGGGAAAAAAGAACATAGATTTTAGTAGAGTGGGGTAAATTCAGAGTGTTGATAACTGCAAGAGAAATTTCCCAGCCTCATTTACAGTGAGTTAATTAAGAGAGAGTCCCTTATAGTGATTTGAATTCTTCCCAATTTCTTTCCATTTTTATGTGATAAGATGCTGTCTCCTGATTTGTCAGCAATGAGTTGATTGTTTATGTTTACAATTCCTTCTCTAGCTTCCTCAAAATCTCTTATGGGTTGTCTATTCTTCAATATTTTTAATGACTTAAAGAGGTTGGGGAAGGCTGTTCAGATTTGTAAATGAGACAAATTGGAATGGAATAACTAACTTCCTAGAAGACAGAAATAAATTTCAGAAGAATCTTGACAAGGCTGCAGATTACTCTATGGGTAGATACCATATGAAATAGGTGGTCCATCAAATAACCTGGCTGTATGTCATGTGTGGCTTTACAGGTGATAACCTGCATCTTGAATTTCACCTGGAAGCATACCATTAACCGCTGCAGCTCACAAAGAAGGAAAGCACATGCTCACCATTTCCCATTGCATTCTGGGTCAACTGACGCTTCCAAGTAGTCTTCAAGGGCAGATCTATCTAGAGTGCATTGCAGTAATCAAACTACAAGGTGACTCAGACAAGAGTGACCATCTGAATGGCTTTCTAATACAGGACAGGGTACAAATGGTGCATAAGAAGCTGTGCAAATACCGAGAGAACCTCCAGATTGGGAACTACTTTTGAATGTGGATGTGCAATCTAAGATTAAAGGTGGAAAACCCATCATCAGGGGGGGGGCATAAAATCCACAGCTAGTCAGTAGGATTATCTCAAAATCTGCTTCTCCCCATCCAGATTGGCACAACTTTTAGACACTGAGATAAGACCTCAACCTGGCCAGCTTGGGGTCAGGAGTTTTAAATGGGTATCATCAGTATATCAATAATATTGTCCTCTAAGCTAGCAGATGATCTAATGCTATGGTTTCATGTAAATATTAAACTGGGGTGGAGAGAGGAATGAGCTTCTGACACCCCACAAAGGAAAGGCCAAGACCTCTTTCCTATCAACAAAACATGTTTTTAAATATCCTGAAACAAAGTTTAATGCTTGTCAGGTATCTGAATCTGGGAACTAAAGGCTTACAAAATCTCAAACATTTGAGATAAGGGGATATTGTATATTGTTAGTTGTTATACAAGAAGAAATATAGGTAACAAAAATAGTCTCCAGGGAGGTGGGTGCACTGTAATATTTGTATTTTTATATTGTTTTTTATTTAAACTTATATGTATTATGTTTGTATTATTTGAATGTGAATAAAATTATTTTAAAAATTTCAAACATTTGTCAGATGAACCTATAACTTTCTCATATGCTTCAAAAAATGACAACAATAAAATATTCTCCAATGAAATGTAGCAGATTTTATTTTGAAATAATTTTAATAGGATTGCATAGTAAGGTCTTTTAAGAACAAACACAACCCATAGTGTTAAAATATTCAAGGATTCTGTCTGAATGTAGTGGAATTGTGGACGAAACAAACTCTTTGGCAATCTCTTCTCTTTTTATCATGTATTTGATGAAAAAAAATTAATTTGAATTTGGGATTTATGAATTTTCAATTTAGGATCACACAGGGATTTTGAATAAAAAAATATAAAATACTTTCTTCTTGACTTTTCACATATGTGTGTGCGTGGTGTGTATAAAAGCATTTCTCAAATGAATTCATGGTGGTAGTCTAAGAATCTAATTACACAAAATATAATGGCCAATATATGCCCAAAATAGTGGGAGATGCTTAGAAAAATTTATTAACAGGAGTAAAGAACATCAATGCAAATCTTTAAAATGATTTTATGACATAACGCCAATATTCCTATCAAAAGTCATTTCTTACTCAGATAAGATAGGATGAGAACAGGAACCTTCCTGTGAATTGTACACCTGGGAAAGTATTTAAATGCTTTCACATCTTCAGATAGCATTTTCTAGAGGTCTTCACATGCTAAATTTCAATTAAAAGAGGATCATCATTCTTTCAGTTTGGCATCTGAAGAATATTGATTTACTTCTGATTTTGGACAGCTGGAAACAAAAAGAAATAAGGAGGTCGCCTGAAGGTAGGACTGTTATGACATCCTGACTTAATGGATCCGTTTAACATCAAATAATCACTCTGCCAGGTACGAGGAACAATGCTTTAATTCATCATACGAAGGCTGCAAAAAGTTAGCACTAGGGAACAGCTCTCCCAGGTACGCTTTTTATACAACTCCTTTTACCACACCCAATCCAAGCCCTTTACCACACCCAATCCATCACCCATACATCACCACCCATGTTCCTTACCCCACCCTGTTCCCTATTAAGCTACCATCCGGTCTTGAAGCTTCCAGGTGTTTCCTGCGATCAGCTGTTATCTTCGGTCTCGTTGATCGGCTTCAAATCTTTGTCCACGCATGCTCAGACAGTGAGTTGGGCTTTAAGATCCTTCTGCACATGTGTGGCTTTGCCCTACACCATCCCAGCCGCTTATGGGTAAGTCCGTGATATTGTTTCACTGCGCATGCGCGGTGATTGGACTGTGCATGCTCAAAGGTTCTCAACTGGATGTCGGGCCTCACAGAACACCGCCATCAACACAGGAAGCCTTCGGTACGGAGTAGTCAAGTTAGGCGAGGATCCCGACTCGTCTGGGAAACCACGCTCCGAAGCCGGTGGTAACGTACATGATCATACTCCTCTTAGGGCCCGACAAGGACAAGAAACAACGTATGGAAACTGATCAAGGAGAGAAACAACCTAGAACTAAGGAGAAACTTCCTGACAGTTAGAATAATTAACCAGTGGAACAACCTGCCTCCAGAAGCGGTGAATGCTCCAACACTGGAAGTTTTTAAGAAGAGACTGGACAGCCATTTGTCTGAAATGGTGTAGGGTTCCTGTGTAAGATGCTAAGAAAAAGATGCAGGCATGTCTTGAGCAGAGGTTTGAAGCTGCAGGACACAGCTTGATAAACTCTGAGTTTATTGCTTCTTATATACTTGTTACATACATAGGCTTTACCATTAAATGCTGACAAAGGTTTCTTCATTGGAAAATGTCTTCATGTAAGCAACTATTTTCTAGTAACACATTACATGGTCAAAGACCAGGTAAGAACAAATACAGGTAGATCAAAAGGAGAAAGAACTGACAAAGACAGGAAGAGATAGGAAGGAACTTAAGCATATTATCTGTTTAGGTAGGTGAGACATTAAGTCAAAGGGGTATGACCTTCTGGCTGCTTCACTGGGACAAAGGGTATCAAAAGGTTATGAGGTTTGTGGGGGGGGAAGCATGGCAGTTTGCTGCGCGTGCATTTTTCCCCACATTCCTGCCTGAGCAGGGGGTTGGACTCAATGACCTCCAAGGTCCTTCCAACTTTATTATTATTTGTTGGAATATTCATGAGCAGGAAGAGTCATGTGGTAACTCAGTCAGCCGATGTGAAGAAAGTGCTACTGAGTCTGTGCAAAAGGTATTGAGTTAGGAGCTGGATTTCCAGTCTCGGGTTTGTCTCTGTATCTCTCTGTAAGAAGTCTTCATTGAGCTATGTTGCTGTAAAGAAGAATGTATGGTATTTGTAAATATTTTGATATGAATATAAAGCAATTTATTTGAATCAGCTAAATGCAGTCAACTGTGAGAGCTTCTGATTTATTTTTTCACCAACAGAGAAATTAAAATTCTCAACAGGTTATGGGGCCAGAGCTTACTAAGGACTGCATTGTAATTTAAAGCTGGAAGAAATTGCCTGTGTTTAGAAAGTATAAGAACAAGGCAGAATTAGCAGAATGGCTGCAATGGAATTTAAGGAAAGCTCTGTGCCTCGTTTGGACCAGAAAAATTACATTGTGTGGGCTGCAAAAATGGAATGTTTGCTCAAAGCAAAAGAGCTGTGGTATATCATAGAAAATCCACCACAAGTGTTTGCAGCTGCTGATCAGAAAAGTCATGATCAAGCAATGGCTTATCTCATCTTGAATTTAGATGATGAACAATTTCTAAATGTTGCAAATTTAAAGACTGCAAAGGAGATTTGGTTGAAATTGAGAGCTGTGTATGTGAATGTTTCTGCATGCAATATAGTGCAATTGTCAAGAAAACTTTACAGGGCCTGTTTGCAACCAAGTGAATCTGTGAAACAGCATTTAAATAAAATGCAAAGTTTATTTTGGGACTTAGAACAATGTGGGATTAAATTCCCTGAGTCCCAGAAGGTTTTATTGGTGTTGAACAGTTTAGATAAAACCTAGGACACAGTTTCTGTGATATTTGAGTGTAAAGAAGAGCAAGACTTAAATTTTGAGGTTTTAAAGGCATGTTTGCTTAATGAAAAAGAAAAGCACCATTTTAGGAACAGCCATGAGGAGGTGAAATTCCTGAGGAGGGGGTCCAGACTGCAAGTCTCTGTAGAAGAAACAAGCAGATGGGACAAGTTGCATCAAAAGAGAGATTTTGCAAGCAGGGAGCTCAGCAAGAAAAGAATTGCTACATTTGCGATGCAAACACACATCTGAAAAGGAACTATTTGCAGAGGAACAATTTGCAGCGAAGGACATTTGTGCAAGCAAAAAGGACTGATTTGCAAAAGGAACATTTTGGTGTTGCAAAAGTCTGCTATAGCAACAACAGAGACAAGTGGCTAATAGATAGTGGGGCAAGTCAAACAATTGTTAATGACTCTGAATTATTTTGCAGGTTTGTTCCAGTAGCACAAGAAGCTGTGGCTTTGGCAAATGGCCAGAAAGCAAAAGTCATTGGAAAAGGCAATGTAAAAATTCCATATTTGGAATCAAAGTTTACCAATGTGCTTTGTGTACCTGAGATGGAACATAATTTGTTAAGTGTGTCTAATTTAGACAAACAAGGTTTTGAGACCATTTTTTATAAATGGGAAGTGTCTCATCAAAAGGAATGGGAATATTTGTGCAGAAGGCATAAAGGAAGATAATCTATATGTATTGCAGGGACAAAAGGTTCAATGTTCCCATATATTTAAGAATGTTGCAGAGCACAATTCATGTGTTCATCTTCTACATAGAAGACTTGGCCATGCAAGCTTTAAAGTTTTGCAGCAAATGCAAGAGTTTGCAGAAGGGCTAAATTTGAAGGGATGCAAAACATATTTGGACTGTGCAGTATGCAAAGCATCGAAGTCAAAGGCATTCCCAGTTAGTAAATATAGCACAAGACAAACAAAAAGAACTCTAGAGCTGGTCCATGCAGATCTGGTGGGACCTATGCAAGCCAGTTTGGGAGGAGCAAAATATGCACTGGTAATTGTTGATGATTATAGCAGGTATTGGTTTTTCTACTTGCTTAGAGGTAAGACAGAGGTGCTACAACATTTCAAACAGTGGGTAAGTTTTGTAGAGAGAAGGTACAGACAACAAGTGTGTCAGTTGAAACTGACAGAGGTACTGAATTTATGTCAACTAAATTCCAACAATGGTTGGGGCAGTTGGGGATAAGACACAGATGTACAAATCCTTACACAGCAGGAGAGAACAATGTAGCTGAAAGAAGGAATGGTGTTTTGCAAACAATGAAAGATTCATTATTAGAGGATTCTGGTATGAGAGGTCATATTGGGGAGAAGCCATATTGACTGCCAATTATATAGTTAACAGGCTGTGGAGTTCCTCCATTAATAATACTCCATATGCCATTCTATATGGGAGAAAGCCATCACTGGCACATTTGAAAATTTTTGGAAATACTGCATGGTTACATATTCCAAAAGCAATCAGAAGAAAGGGACAGCAAAAGGCAAGAAAGCTCAGGTTTGTGGGCTATGAGCCATGGTCAAAAGGATATTGCTTTAGCGATGGAAGTAAAAGAATTGTAATTTCAAGGTCTGCTAATTTTGCAGAACAAAATTGGGACAGAATTAATGCAAATTCTGGGTATGTCTCACTTAATGACGGTGATCTAGTTAATGACAATAACTCATCTGATGATGGAAAAATGATTATTGAAGATGTCAATGTTCAGGGAGGAGAGGCTGAACAAGACATGAAGCCAGATAGACTTGAGACACAGGAGCAGTTAATACCACGTAGTTCAGAGCGATGTAATAAAGGAATTCCGCCTGACAGGTATTCTGCCAGCAAGGTAAAGGTTTTCAATGTATGGTATGAGCCAAGAAGTTATAAAGAGGTGTTGGCATTACCAAAAGCTGAACAAGAAAGATGGAAGGAGGCCATGGATAAAGAGATGAAATCCATGGGAGAACATGAAGTATTTAAATCAGTGACTTAGCCACAGGGAACCAAAGCTGTGGGTTGTAAGTGGGTATATAAGAAAAAGGTATTGCCAAATAATGATGTACAGTATAAGGCCAGGTTAGTGGCACAAGGTTTTTCACAATTAAAGAATTTGGGAGAAATAAAAAATTATCTCGGTGTAGAGATATAGAAAAATGAAAAAGGTGATTATATTCTCAGTCAAAGGAGAAAAATTGAGCAGTTATTGGAAAAATATAATATGAAAGATTGCAATAATGCTCCCACACCCATGAGTATGGATTTTTATAATAGTTTAAGTGCGGACAAAGGTGAAACCTGTGATCAAGAGATATATCACTCAGCAATAGGGAGTTTGTTATATCTATCACAGTGGTCCAGACCAGACATAGCTTGCGCAGTAAGCATTTTGAGTTGTTTTACTGCTGCACCTACAAAGTTACATTGGATGGGTGTAAAAAGGGTTCTCAGATATTTAAAGGGAACTATAAATTTGAGTCTTCAAATACATATTACTGAGGAATTGAAATTAAAGTGTTATGTCGATAGTGACTATGCAAATGACATAAACACAAGGAAATCAAATTCTGGGATTGTAATATTGTTTGGAGGGACTCTGATTGGATGGAAGTCGAGAAAACAAACAACTGTTGCTATTTCAACAGCAGAAGCAGAGTTTATTGCTTTATCTGAATTGTGTTCTGAGGTAACATGATATGTACAGTTGTTGCAAGATTTAAATATTAACGTAAAAGGTATTTGAAGATAATGCTGCCTGTATAAAAATGGCAACTGGTGACAGGGTGAAGAACAAAAATAAACATGTAGACATTAAGTATTGTAATGTCAGGGAAGCTGTAAAAGGAAAATTGATTAGTTTACATCATTGTTCTTCTGAGGATAATTTGGCAGACATGATGATTAAACCATTGGGTAGTGTTTACTATGGAGAATGTATTAAATCAATAGGTCTGATGTCTCTTCCTGTCATGAAGGGAGGAGTGTTGGAATATTCATGAGCAGGAAGAGTCATATAGTAACTCAGTCAACCAATGTGAAGAAAGTGCTACTGAGTCTGTGCAAAAAGGGTATTGAGTTAGAAGCTGGATTTCCAGTCTCAGGTTTGTCTCTGTATCTCTCTGTAAGAAGTCTTCATTTGTGCTATGTTGCTGTAAAGAAGAATGTATGGTATTGTAAATATTTTGATATGAATATAAAGAAATTTATTTGAATCAGCTAAATGCAGTCAATTGTGAGAGCTTCTGGTTTATTTTTTCACCAACAGAGAAATTAAAATTCTCTAACATCATCATCATCATCATCATCATCATCATCATTATTATTATTAACTCAAGCCAGAATATTTTCAAATTTAACTGCTTTTTGATTTCACAACATAGCTTGTCTGTACGCTTGGGAAAGTCCTGTGGTTATATTCTCCTATCATGGCCCTGTGATTAGAATCCTTCCAAACCATTTCTCAGCATCAAGCACATAACCTATATCATCAGCAGATCCTTCTTGATAGCCGAGCAACACTTTTGAGGACCAAGGTAAGATACCATTGTGCCATTTGGAAGATAATTAATTCATGGGCAATTTATGATTGAAACGGGCTTAGACAGAGTAGCTTTGTTAAATAAAAACCTTTATGTAGGCACTGCGAGGGCTCAGTAAAAAGCAGAGTTGGAATTAAGGCAAATTATTTCTATATCTCTAGTGATTTGAAACGAACAAGCAGGTAGAGAACATGAATATCAAACTTTAGTCATTCCTGTGGAATATTATTCATAAACCCATCATTAAAGATCAGACAGCTCCCGAATCCACTGGAAGGATATTTTGACAGAGACTTCATAAGCTCCATAATATCATTTTGACTTGTAATAAACATTGATAGATTAATCCTGCATGAATGTATCTGACCCTGAAAATTCACAGATGCATTGTAGAAAGAGAGCAAGAACTTTTATGAGTTACAGTATAAGCTGTGCGGAATAGCATTTTTGATAGTCCCTTCTTCCTGAACCCAGAGTTGTTTTTAACAAACCTAAATCACCAAGTAACCATAGTTTCTTCAAGACTTGCTCTATAGTCCCAACTAAAAAAAAAATTCTATCTGCTGCAATGATTTGAGAGGAATAAGCAGGTAGACACTATATTGTATCAGTCCTATGGAATGCCTAATAAAAACAAGCTTATTTCATTGGAAAGATACTGCTAATGGAAGATAAAACATGCCTTCACATTATGGGTTAGCACAAATTAGTATGCTCCGCTTTCCTATTTCTTTTAGTCTCTCTCTCTATAGTTGGACTATGACAGAGACCATTATTTCAGCATTTCTCTCCACTGTGAACCAAATTCAGCCTCTGCTGCTGCAAGAAATGAATACTTGCATCTCCAACCAGTTGGGGTTCTATTTGGTATAAGATGTTTCTTTCAAGTTGTAGGTTAATGCTGATTAATAACCACTGTTGACAAGAGATGGTTTGCTTAGCAAAGAGAAGCAAGAAGATTGGCTATCATTCCACTAGGTCTGCTAGGCTCGGATAGTTTCAACAGTGTATTGTATAGAGACTGGGTTCTTACCAGATTGAACATAACAAAAATAATTATGTGTGTTGTGACCTAGGGCAGATAGGTCACAACACACCTTCATCAAATATCAGCATGAGCTGTATCCGGTGACAGCAAAATATGTGCATATTTTATGCAAAAGGTAATTGATGTATTGACTCCAGTTTTTCTTTCATACAGATTTCAAAACTACTAAATATCAAACATATATTTAGAAAAGGAGATGGGAAGAAGAGGGTGGGCTGTTAAAGGTTAGCGTTTTTCCTGAGCCTCAATGTCATTTTAGTTGTTTTTCATGTTTAATATAATTCTTTGCTATGTTTGTACGCTGAGTTTTTGGATAACTGTATCCTATACATTGGACGACATAAACAGACAAATACATAAAATGAGGGAGATGTAATAAACTTCCAATGTAGGCTTGTCCTACAAGAAACAGTAGAGTTATGCTGATGTCTCCTATGGTCCTTTCGACAGACCACTAAAATCACAAACCTCATCACCTCCAGAAAAATGATAGTCAAACTCATCTTGAAGAAACTATACTAGAGGCAGTTGATATAAAACAATTATCTGGTAATTCCAATGTCTTTTTCTTCCTTTTTTAAACAACATTATTTTATTATTGTAGGTGTATTATTCAAATTGATTAGTTAAAATTGTATGGTTGGTCAATATTCCTGTAATGGACTAAGTAATCCAGTCCATATTGTTTGCCCCAAGTGATGATTGCAATGTTAAAGCAGAATTTAAAACTTGAAACCTTGGTGCGCCACTTTACTTGCCTGATTTCACACATAAACTGGAATATTTACTTTTGGAAGTGACTGAGAAATGTGGAAAGAGAATGTGGGATGTAAATTCTTATCTCATTGCAGATGGATTCAACCAACAAGACGTCAGTTGAGGAATTTGTTTTATTAGGTTTTGGAATTGGACAGCACAAGCGTTTGCTGCTCCTTGTGTTTTTCACTTTTCTCTATGTGCTCACTTTGGTTGAGAACATCACCATTATTATCTTGGTGTTTTTGGACACCCACCTTGGGCGGCTTCCTATGTACATCCTGCTGAGCAACTTCTCCTGGTTGGAAATGTGCTATGTGTCCTCCACAGTTCCTCGCATGATCTTCGATTTAGCAGTTCCTGGCGGCATCATTTCTCTCAAAGAGTGTTTAGTCCAGTTCTACATCTTTTTCATCCTTGGGGGCACTGAGTGTTTTTTCCTCTCAATTATGGCCTTCGATCGGTACGTGGCCATCTGCCACCCATTGCACTACCCACAAATTATGTCTCAAAATGTCTGCTACATTCTGGTGGCTCTTTGTTGGATCCTTGGCTTCCTGTGGTATCTTGTTCCAGCAACGTTGATCGCTAAGTTGTCCTTTTGTGGCGCCAATGTCATTGACCATTTTTTGTGTGATGCTGGTCCAATCCTATCCTTGGCTTGCCCTCCGCTTGGAATGGTTCCCACTTGGAGTCAGATTTGTCTCAGTGGTCTGCTCCTAGGTAATATGACATTTGTTATTTTGTCCTACGGCACTGTGATTTTCACTCTAATGAAGATGTCCAACAAAGGTAGTCGTAGGAAAGGCTTTTCTACCATCTCTTTCCATCTAATTGTGGTCTCACTTTTCTATGGTTCAGTGACAGCAATGTATTTGTTACCAGGTGGAGAAAGCCAGTTAGGTATCACTAAGGCAGTGACTCTCTTGTATACCACTTTTACACCTTTTCTCAACCCCTTGATCTACTGTCTGAGGAACAATCAAGTTAAAGAAGCACTGAATACATTACTAAGGAGAAAGGTGAGACTCATATGGAGCAAGGAATAGTCTAAAATTGTAGATGAAAGATATAACCAAAATCAAACACAAGCATGTACCAACACTCTAAATCAATGGTGTGCTTCTAGAATGGAATGGAATGGAATAGAATAGAATAGAATAGAATAGAATAGAATAGAATAGAATAGAATAGAATAGAATAGAATAGAATAGAATAGAATAGAATAGAAGAGTTGGAAGGGACCTTGGAGGTCTAATAGTCCACCCCCTGCTCAGGCAGGAAACCTTATACCATTTCAGACAAATGGTTGTTTAATCTCTTCTTAAAAGCTTTCAGAGTTGGAGCATTCACAACTTCAGATTGTTCCACTGATTAATTGTTCTAACTGTCAGGAAATTTATCCTTAGTTCTAGCTTGTTTCTTTCCTTGATCAGTTTCCATCCATTGCTTCTTGTCCTGCCCTCAAGTGCTTTGGAGAATAGTAACAGTATTTATGTCACTTTGAAAAGAAAAATTCCAATGTCCAAGCAGGTCTACATGAGCTTCATAATGCCCACATGCAGTACCATTAAGGTAAATTCTGGGTCCCACATTTTTCAAAGGTTGTAAGAGACTTAAAGAAATGGAGAGAAAACCTATCACACTGTCAGATGTGCCCAAACTGGGTGAAATGGTTCATATCCTAGAAGACAGATATAAAATTCAAAATCTTGATAAGGCTAGAGAAGTAGGCTGAAAGTAACAGAATGAAATTTAACAGAGGAAAGCTCACTTAGGGAACATATAAATGAACAATTATAGAATAGGGAATATCTGGTTTAGTTGTGGCTAGCTGTTAGAAAATCTGTTTTTATTATCTCAGGGACCATCTCTTGTTGGTCACATCTACTGACCCACTAGAGTGGTTGGGGGCAAGGAATGTTGCAGGTCCTGCCCCCTAAGGAGATACCTCTGGTGGGACCCAGAAGAAGGGCCTTCTCCGTGGTGGCTCCCTCTCTCTGGACCATCATTCCTCCAGAGATTAGACTAGCCCCCACTCTAACACTCTTTCAGAACTAGAAGACCTGGTTCTGCCACTGGGCCTGGGGAACAAGAGGGGGATGGAGCCCATTTGAATGTGTGTTGTTGTTGGGGTGGGGGTTATTTTATTATTTTTCTTCTTGTTATTTTTTATTCTTTTTATATGGTGTTTTATATCCATGTAAGCTGCCTTGAGTCGCCATGTCCCAGTAGGTGGCAATATAAATTTTCTAAATAAATAAAATAAATTACATAGAAATTCTAGCAGAAGATAGTTATATAGCCATACAGATCAAATAAAATGTGCAATGTACAGTCACCATAAACTTTGCTGTTTAACGGTTTCAAAACTATCACAACTGTCACAGGAAACTCTCCTGAGAACATAAAGGAACCATGGATCTATAACCATACATTAGGTACTAACTAAACACTGCAATTTACTGGCTGATTAATTCTGTAGTTGTTGCAGTACAAAATACATTCTAACAATGAATTCAAACACTAGTGACCTTGGAATATTAAATGGAGACTGAATATGAGTGTGCATTTTGTGTGGGTTCAAAAAATGGGGCAAGTGAACTTTAGGCTGTGTCAAACACACACACACACAAACACACAGACAGACACAAACTCTATGTCCAAGCAGGTCTCTGGTTACTACATGAATTTCATAATGCCCACATGGATACCACAAAAGTCAATTCTGGGTTCTATATTCTTCAATTGTTGTAAGAGACTTAAACAAAGAAATGGAGAGAAAACTTATCAAATTGCCAGATGAGCCCAAATTGGGTGAAACAATTCATATCCTACAAGACAGATGTAAAATTCAAAATCTTGATAATGCTAGAGAAATAGGCTGAAAGTAACAAAATGAAATTTAATAGAAGAAAGCTCACTTAGGGAACATATGAAATGGACAAATATAGGATAGAAAATATCTGATTTAGCAATGGCTAGAGCAGTAGCTCCCAACCTTTTCTAGAACGCTTCTGATATATTCTCATACCCCTTACAAAAGTTTGAAATAATGGCAACAAATTATGCATATAATTTTGAAATCCCAAGTTTTCTCACCCCATGGAATATCCCAGGTGCGAGGAAGGAGAACGTAGTGTAAACATGAGGGAGGAAGAAACAAACCAAATCACTATACTACATAAGGCCTGGTTACATTTTTATTTCATTTGTCCCTTTAAACTGCTCGACAATAAATTGTAGTGGAAGGCATGAAAAAATAACAAGGGATTTATTCACATGCACAAACTTCTCTCCTTCATTGGTCCTTAGGCATTTCTCTCCTTGACCAGGTCAGCCATGACATAGTTTGGAAGCAAATGGCCACCATGCCAATATCAGAAAAAAAATGCAGGAGACACTCCTTGAATGGTAGAGCCATGTTCTATGAGCAGCACCCCACACTGTTGTCCACATTGCCTCCCATTTTAATACAGATGGCAAGTGTCCACATGGAAGGTCAAAGCAAAGTTGGCAAGATACAATAAATGGGAGCATGAAAAATGCCCAGTTAAACCCAGATGCTGCATTTGATCACACAAGATGGTGTTTGTGTTGATCCAAAAAGCAGACTCTGTACCTACAGGAAAAATGCTAAGATTCAGCCACATGGTTTTCCTTTCCACATTTGGAACACATCCACCCATATCCTGGATATTATCTATATATTTGCTGTCAAGAATGAAACTTTGGCAGCTATGTGCCTCTTCCTTTCAGCTTGCCATTAGAGTAAGGGGGGGGGAATGTTGTTTTAGATTTGGTTAAGATGGAGAAATGAAACCTCTATGATTCCGCTGAAGACTGTGAGAGCCTGAAACCTTTCCAAGGACACTGCAGCAGGTGTGGAGAAGAAGCAGTTTCCATAACAAAATTAAATTGTTTACATGGACAATATGAGAGAGTGGGGGTTGGGCCAGAGATATATTGTTTAATTCTATGAACTGGTGCCTGGGAACCTTAGAGTTAGTTTTGCTTCGACATTACCATGCCGTGTATTCAATAAACAGTAAGATTTTTGGAAATACAATGAACCTGGACTTTTATTTGGATCCTCGAACTGGATGTTGACATTTGCTTTATATTATTTGACAAAACTGTTGGCATATCTGCTGTCCTTTTTCAAATCTTTATTATTTGTTGATGTTTCCTTTGTCAGGGCCAAACTGATTGCTGTCCTTCTCTTAATATGTGAAGTGTGTCCTATAATTTTCAAATATAACTGGGTGATAGTAATGGCAATAACACTTAGACTTGTATACTGCTTCATAGTGCTTTACAGCCCTCTCTAAGCAGTTTACATTGCCCCCAACAATCTGGGTCAGCCTATTGCCCCCAACAATCTGGATCCTCATTTTACCGACCTCGGAAGGATAGAAGGCTGAGTCAACCTTGAGCTGGTGAGACTCAAACTGCCGAACTGCTGGCAGCCGGCAGTCAGCAGAATTAGCCTGCAGTACTGCATTCTAACCACTGCTTGTTTTCTGCTTGTCATAATATTCTGTATTAGAGCTTTCAAGTTACTTCTTTCTTCATCCATTGATGTAAATATATTGTATACCTTACAGCTTATATTTAATTGTAAGTGAAGAATGAAACCAGGGTTGGTTTCCCAACAGGCAAAATTATTTTCTATGAATTCACATGACACTAAAGTCAATTGGTGGCATTCCTAGGTTTGATTTGCCTATTTACTTTGTCTCCTTCTAAACCCAGGGGTGGTGGCTAATCACCTCACTCCACTCCAGGGAATTCTTGTTGCTATTTATTCAAGGTATTCACTCTTACCAATGCTGTTAACAGCCTCCAGGAACCTTCTTCTGCATTCTTTTTTTAAATGGTCAATAAGAATTTATAATGTTCTGATGGATAGAGTGTTTAGCCAGGATTGCCAGTAGATACTTTAAACATGTGATATTTTTTTTCCACACAAGAAATCCTGCCCACGCTACTGTTTTGCTCCGCGTCACATAAGGTGATTCTACCTGCTGCAAAAATTACTCATTATTTGCCAGTACAGCACAATCTCATAGCACCACAATATTTTTTCATTGGGTTGACTTGTAATGACATTGGACATTGCTTTAGCTGAGAGTGAGTTCGTTTGGGCTGATCATCATCTTATGCAAGGCAGCCTCAGCCTGATTCCTCATTTACAGTTGACAGTTGTCCTCTTGGTGAAAGAGTGGAGCTAATGGTAAGTGATCATTGCCTACCTGAAGAGAAAACAGCAGTAATGTTTACTAGAGGCTTTCAAAATCTTCAAGAGAGAGCTGCTGTAAATAGGGTCCTCAGTCTAGTGTCAGCCTCAAAGACCATTTTTCCAAGTCTCCTCCGTTTCCACAAACTCTTAATCTCTGATTAAGGGCCTGAAGACAAAAACATATGAACGGTTGCAGGAATTGGGTGTGGCTAGTCTAGAGAAAAGAAGGACTAGAGGTGACATGATGGCAGTATTCCAGTATTTGAGAGGCTGCCACAAAGAAAAGGGGGTGAACTTATTTTTCAAAACAGCAGAAGGCAAGACAAGAAACAATGGATGGAAACTACTCAAAGAGAGAAGCACCCTGGAATTAAGGAGAAAATTCCTAACAGTGAGGACAATTAATCAGTGGAACAGCTTTCCTCCAGAAGTTGTGGGTGCTCCATCACTGGAGTTTTAAGAAAAGATTGGAGAGATACCTACCTGAAATGGTCTAGGGTATAGGGTCTCTTGCCTGAGCAGGGGGTTGGACTAGAAATCTCTAAGGTCCCTTCCAGCTCTGTTCTGATTGAATTATTTTCATTTATAATGGAGACGTTTCCATAGCTGGTAAGTTATACCAGGAAAGGCTTTGTGATATTTCATTTCCCATCTTTGGATTAAAACAGATCCAAGAGAACTGTTTCATGGAAGAGGATGTGAAAATGATTCAAGGATCCAAATGCCACTGCTGTTCTTCATTGCATCACAACAATATTTCCTGGAGAATAGCTTTTCTAAATCCTGCAAAACTTCATGTTTCCCTCCCCCCACCCCATATGTATCTCCATATCTGAATTCAATCTCAGTTGTAATCAAAAGACATAGAAGCCCTGGTGGTTTAGTACTTAGAATGCAGTATTGCAGGCTAATCCTGCCCTCAGACAGGAGTTTGATCCTGACCGGCTTAAGGTTGACTCAGCCTTCCATCTTTCCAAGGTCAGTAAAATGA